CGTGTAACACCTGTGATGACTCACCCATGTAACACCTGTGACCCCTCACCCGTGTAACACCTGTGACACTTCACCCGTGTAACACCTGTGACACCTCACCCGTGTAACACCTGTGACACCTCACCCGTGTAACACCTGTGACACCTCACCCGTGTAACACCTGCGACACCTCACCCGTGTAACACCTGTGATCGACTCACCTGTATAATACATGCTGGACAGCATCTGCGCGAGCAGCTTCAGGTTGAGTGTGCATCCCGTACAGAGCGCGACCAGCAGCTCGTACGCAGCAATCGTCGTCAGTGCACTTGAACACACCGGCACGGCGTTCTGCCGCGACGCGCTCCCGCCGCCGCCGGTCTTCTGTGAGACGAGCACGAGTCGCGATGCCGGGAACACAAAGTCCTCGACGATCTCCTGGTGGCGAGAAGAGGAAACGACGGGCGTCACGTTACGTTACATGCGTGCGTGCGCACTCAGACGCACACGCATGCATTCAAACTTATTGCACTATGTTGCCGCGCGACAAGAAGAGGAAACAGCCCCCGTGGCGTGCTTACCTATTAATCGAATATTTATGAGTGTAAATACGGTACGTTTTATCGCGGGGATACCTGTATCATACCTCGACTGCTCGTGTCACGTGCTAATTACCTGTATCATGCCCAGACCGCTCGTGTCATGACCTGACTGTTCGTGTCACATGCCATTTTTACCTGTATCATGCCCTGACTGTCCGTGTCACATGCTATTTACCTGTATCATGCCCAGACCGCTCGTGTCCTGTGCTATTTACCTGTATCATGTCCTGACTGCTCGTGTTACGTGCTATTTACCTGTATCATGCCCTGACCGCTCGTGTCACGTGCTATTTAGCTGTATCATGCCCCGACTGCTCGTGTTACGTGCTATTTACCTGTATCATGCCCTGACTGTTCGTGTCACATGCTATTTACCTGTATCATGCCCTGACTGCTCGTGTCACATGCTATTTACCTGTATCATGCCCTGACTGTTCGTGTCACATGCTATTTACCTGTATCATGCCCGGACCGCTCGTCTCGGCACCTATGAAGAACTTCTGCTCGGGCGTCTGGAAGGCGAGCAGCTCCTTGGTGATGCCAAGGTGACCTTCTAGCAACGCCTCCTCCACGAGACACTCTCCCTGCTTCTGCACCTCGTTCTGCAGCAGAACGTCGCCACGGCAACGATGTTACCACAACGACCCGACAACAGAGTCCACGACGATGGAACGAGAATGCTGGCAAGTGCTATTGTGCCCAGACCACTACCGAAGTGCGCCTTAGCGGAGACTCTGTTTAAACAAGTACGAGCTACAGATACCACGATCTAAAGAAAACGCTATAAAATCTCTGTGAAATACACACAATTACAGTTTAAACCCGGACAGTCGGACACCCTGCTCCTGTTCATCGCATTAGCTATTAACAATACCAGTCTGAACACATACGTCTAGACGTACACCCCATTATTACTTACAAGGCCAAGGTTATTATTATATCAAGTATATTACCCCCCCAAGACCTGATTATCTAAGGCACTCTACGTCTGCATTGGACACGCATGCGCGCTCACAGGGCCACGAACCTTGAGGCGTTTGAGCCACTGCAGCTCGCTGTTCAGCAGGGCGTTGACGTTGGGCAGAACAGTGTTACTAGCGCAGGCGAAGTTTAGCAGACGACACAGCAGCTGGAAGTACTCGTGCGAGTTCTTAGCGTTATCCATCACCGTCGTCTGCAATCCAAACAGAGAGAACTCAAACTCAATCGAACAGAATCATGGCAGAATTAGAATTCGTCTTTTCTACAATCTCCACATTTTCTATATTCTCTGCATTTTCTGCATTTTCTACTTCTTCTAATATATAATATATAATGGTCGCGACCAACACGAGTAGTATAGTGTAACTTTCACCTCAAGTCACGATGTTTCAGACTTCACAACTACTTTTGATGTTTTCAACACGACGGGGCCCTCGATTTTCAAATGGCAATTTGAAAGTGCGAGTTTAACGATTCCTTCTAGTGGGCACTGCACTGGCGCACTCAACTCTCTCTCCACAGGCTCACCTCTCACTGAGAAAGGCACTCTCATCGAGTGATACACGATTGAGGGGGGGAAATCACAACACTAGCATCGCGAAGGTTAGTAAAACAAAGTTATAACGAGTGTGTTCACGCTGACAGAGAATTACTTACACTGAGAACGGGGAAGAGCAGTGAAATGAAGAACCAGAGTGACTGGTGTCCGGTACAACACTTTGTCGCCATCAGCAGGAACTGTTCGGCTGCCGTTATTCTCACAGACCTGCGGGGCAAACGTGACACGATGGAGGCACACTAGCTGTAAACACTGGTCAACATTCACACAAAAATACAAAGAAAAATGTCAAAACAGCCATCAGAGAGAAATACAGGCTATGTAGACGATATCATAGATTCAACACAATCACAACAACAAGACTTAACCTTCACATGAAATACAAAATGGAACAGGACGAAAAATAGCCAAAACCATTGATGAGAAATACACGCTATAATAACTCTTCAGTTAAATGCTTTCTTGACGATGCTATAAGGGTTTCTATGTACACACACAAGATAAAAAAAACTTACAATGCTTTACATCAATTGTAACGTGTCAAACAAGCAGCCTCTAAAATTTCAAATGCCTCAAAAATCGCAAGAGACTAAAGTATTTTTTTATCTCTTAAAAAAGATGAATAATTCCTTATGACCAATTCGAATCCAAGCCAACGAAGTGTCCACCACATATTCATAAGGAATGATTCCGTCAATATAGCGGTATAAACATCACGGTCGCACAGCGACAGGTGGCGCTACAGGCAACCTCCCGATCTCCTACCTATTTTTACAGATGAGCAGCAGGTCTATGACGAAGCTGACAAAGTGCTTGTCCTTGACGAGAGAGTCGAGGGCCTGGGGGCAGAGCGCGAGACAGAGAGTGAGCACCTCCACTGCCTCACGTGCCACGTGTATGTCCTCAGTGTCCGGCTGTTTGCACTGCTGCAGAAAATCACAACACGACCACCACCGTCAACAAAGGAGTGAGAGAGGCGAGACCCAATGTTTAAAAAAAATATAGATTAATTTGATTGAAATTCCATCAAAGAAAGATCCTAAATTGCAACCTGATATTGATTTTTCAATATGAGATTGAGTTTTTTATATTAATTTTTTTTAAATTTTTTATTTATTGTATTTAATTTATTATATTTGATTTGATTTGAATGGGATTGTGTTGGATCGATCGGGATGTCTGACTTCCTTTACTGTTTTATTTTACATTTTTACCAAATTTCCTTTGTATGTAATAAAGAAATTTTTCCAAAACCATAAGCTTACACACAACTGAAGTGATGGAATGCCAAAGAAATCATAACGTATATGTTAATAATCATACGTGTTGTATAATTACCAAACGAGGAATGCACGAATACTTGTGAATGTGAGAATCAATACCTTCTCATATGCCTTGTGCAGTTCTTCACTAGATGATTGGAGAAGACAGAGTGAACCACTTGACACTGCCCATGATATCTTTTGCACTGCCTTAATTGTTGACAGATCTGGCAAGCTATTTATAGCCTGAAGTGCAATCATATTACCAATTAGTTCGAAAAACACAAATGCAAATGAGCCACTTAGCGATATAAACATTAAACAAATGATTATGCAAGAATAAATAATCACAAATCCATTATCCATAAAACAATCAAAGCTATCACTGTTTAAAAACTACCACATTATACAACAAGTAACAGATACGCAACACGAAAAATCGCCTGATCCTCTGCATATTTGAGCGCCTGCCATCCCTGCATCTGTGTGCCTCATCATAGAGTGAGAACTAGTAGAAGTTTTGCAGAACTATGACAGAAATTCTAAAGACAGTTATGAACAATTATGGAACTTTCCATTAAAGCCGTTTAAACACGCAGAAAAAACTAGCGCATCTGCGCATCTCCCTCCTCCCTTCCTCCCCGTCACTTCGCTCTTTCCTGTGCTCTCACCCCTCACCCTCCTCCCAACCTATCTCACTCCTCCCCCTCCTCCCCGTGCCCCCTTCCCCACAGTCTCACTCCTGCCAACCTATCTCGACCCCTCCCCACACTCTCACTCCTGCCATCACTCCTGCCAACCTATCTCCCCCTCCTCCCCACACTCTCACTCCTGCCAACCTATCTCCCCCTCCTCCCCACACTCTCACTCCTCCCTCTCCTTCCCACACTATCTCGACCCTCCCGACACTCTCACCGCTCCCCGCCTCCGCGCTCCCCACCTCACCTGGTCGGCCAGGTGCTGGCCTAGTCGCACGGCGACGTTGCGCACCATGCACTCCGCGCTCGGGTTCGGCAGGTGGTGGAGAGCCTGCTGCAGCACGACGGCGTGGCTGTGCGTGCTCGCCGTGACGGGCGGCGCCTGCGTCTCGGGCTGGCACGCCTCAGCGACGACCTGCACGAGCGCGTGACTCACCGTCGTCAGCAGCACCTTGCAGATCTTCAGCACGACGTGGTAGGCGGCCCTGCGAGGCAGATCACACCGTGTACATCACACCGCGCACAGACGCGGATCGCGCCGCGCACAGACGCGGATCACACAGCATGCAGACACGGACCACACCGCATACAGAGACAGATCACCCACACAGGTACGGCATGAGACGTGGTAGACGCACAGGCGCGCACGCACGCAAGCACGCGCACACGCTCGCACGCACACTTGGGTTAGATGTAGCATGCACGTTACCCAAGCAGATATGACATAATATCTGACATATATCACATTCACTCACTTCATTCATCATATTCGTTCACTTCTATAATATATATTCTTCACTTCACTAACCTCTTCATAATTCTTTACGTTTATTAGCATGCACGTAAAATCTATATGTGGAATGTTAGATCTAAGCATGCACATTACGCACGTACATAGAACACTGACCACTCTTTCTGAATATCGTTTTCGTCTAAAATCGATTGAGGCTACGTGGGTCAAATACAATTGCTTGTCTTGACAATTGAGATGAGATTTCCTGAGTCATAGTGTTGATTTGTTTTACCCAAATTTGTTTTTTAAACGAGTTCCATCTTTCACTGACATTTTTACGACAAAACATTGATCAAACGGTCAAAAAAAAAACATAAGCGATCAAATCGTGCCCAACTGAATACTTTCATACCAATTAATTTAAAATTAACGAGCAACCACCCGTTACTCGATGCGACAAGTCGTGGTACGGTCATGCATATTAGCGGCTCACCTCTTCGTGACGATGTCTGCATTGGGGAGAAAGTTGTTCTTGACCAGCATACCAAGAATGGCTGCCACGCCTCCGCTCCGCACAAAGTTGTGCTGCAAAGACGCAGTCATTTAGCTCAGCAACGTCGCATCACGCAATGACAAAACTGAGTGATAATGTCATCACATTCAACGTCAAGGTTGTAGACTGGTGTCGAGTGATAAGCTCGTTGAGCCCAGACTGGGTAGTGGCAGTGGATACCCACATGGGGCAGTTGCAGTGGACCTGCATCCCGTAGAAACATTCCGGGCTTTCCCTTTGCACATAGTATACGCTTTTTCTAATGTCTGGCTCTGAATTTTTGACGAAATACAAACAAATCGCGATTATAAAAGCTAAATTAAATGCCCCGTGGAAGAGATTGACCAGAGTGAAGGGCTAGTTTTCTTCCGTTACCTGGAATTCGAAAGCATCGTCTGCCATCGGATTGTGTGCCGGCATTAACAATGTATAAACAACCTGCAAGGCAAATAAATTCATAGGTGATAACTAATGAACCACCGAGATCCAACAGGCACGACTTGCAGGAACTAACTATGGATATGATCTGGTACTCAGTTAAAGGTGCCCTTCTCCCTAAATTATGCGATCGAACATAAATTCTGCCGAAATTGAATTATTTTAGGGCCGAAAAAGAAATTGACCCATATATAGAGAAGCTTGGGAGCAAGTAGAAATTACCAATGTCAGACCCTACCATGCGATATCAACCAGATATAGAATTACAATGAAATCCAATTATTATAATATTCATAAAAGTGCTGGCAAATATACTACACAGTGTTTCCCCTGGCCAAAAAGGTCTGTGAGGTGGTAAATTTGTGTGTGTGTGTGTGTGTGAGAGTGTATTTTGCGCGTTTCGAGGTCCTAGCAAAGCGAGCACCGTCCTAAATTTTTTGAAAAAATGGTGCAATTTGGTGCATTCTAAATTATTTTAGTGCATTATAAGCACTGTTCTATGGAAGAACAATGATTTTCTTCAGCGTGGCGGTGTTTTGGACAAATTTCTGTGTGGCGGCTGAGAATTTGAGCAAGGCGGCCTGCCTCACTCATGTCAATGCAGAGGAAACACTGCTACAGTTAGTATTACAAGAAATGTCTAGACTTTCGTGTGATAATATCCAGTTATAATAGCTACACAACAAGGGTTCACCTATGGACATTTTTCATCTTTAAAGTGAAGGAAACCAAACGAGTCAACATTGTTCAATAAGTACTCAACAACTCAGTAACAACTAACGACCAACACTTCCTGGACTAACGACAGCAGCGGGAAAACGCGCACAAGCACCAACAACAAAAACAAACGTAACAACCGTATCACCACGGTTGTGCACTTGCCTCGAGATTGTATAAAACCTGGGAAGCCGACGTGGTGAAGAATCGGCTTTCTAGAGAAGGCGACAGGGACTGGTCACCAAGCTTGGCGTGATCTAGGCACAGAGCCCTCAGCTCATCCACTGTGCGCGTGTCTGCAAACGACAGACAACAAAGCGATACAGTCAACGTATTAGCCAGCGAGCCGTGCAGCCATGATTTGCACGGTCAGTTTTGAAACTGCACGGCCAAAAAAAATTCCCGAGGAGGAGACTGCTACGACGGTCTTGGTTGAGACAAAATAAAATTGCACTTTTTCTGCAAAATGCTGGAAATATTTTTTCTGCACTCCAACAATACTCATTCCTGGCTAATAGCATGGATATAGTGTACAACAAAAATTAAGGCGTCCTGTGTGCACTGCACAACGACCAAATACATCTGCGCAGAGTAACTGTACAATCGTGAACAACTATGAATAACTGTGAACAACTGTGAACATCTTTGTAGAACTATAAATAACTGTGATAAACTTTATACAACTATAAATAATTGTTAGTAGCTTCAAACATCTGTGTACAACTATAGATAACTGTGAGAAACATTGTCAACTATAAATATTTGTGAGCAACTGCGAACAACAAAGTCATTCCGCAACAGCAGTATATGAAGTGATCAGTCGAAAGCTGTGCAGAATTAAAATCACTGATACAAAATTTTCATTTAATAGATTACGGGAAATAAAACATTACTATAACATATATAAAACTTATTTTGCTACATTAATATAAAATTAAACTTAATTGTTAATTGAGCAATTAATGTGTCATAAGAAAGATTAACAAAATAATGTAGGGTAACTAACACCTGATGAAGGTTCAAGCACAGAAAAAGAAAATGTGTTGGTACATGTAGACGATTCTAGACAGAAAACCCTCGATCAAATCTCAAAGGAGGTTGCACATGCAAACCGATGAAAGTCATCGTTAGTGGTTCAGTGCAGACTAACTTACTACTGTACTATGTTATACAGACTGCATCACGCAGCACGAGCTACGTGGCTTGCCCACGTACCGGCTGGCATCAGCTTGAGCAGGGTCCTCGCTCCGTCTCTCAGCGGCGGCATCTGCAGCGAGCTGCCCAGATCGGCGAGTTGAAACAAGAACTGCGCGTATGGATGTTGCGTCGCCATTAGCTGCAACAATGTTGACGCTACGCTGAGTAACATCCATCGACAAGGACGAAGTTATGGGCATTGTTCAACTGTTGAAACTTCCGCTACGTTGAACGATAGCTTTTCAATAACACGGAGAGGGTGGGCAGAGAGAAGAGCGAGAGGGGGGGAGAGAGAGAGCGCACGCGTGCGAGAGAGAGAGAGAGAGAGACAGTTGAGAGGAAAGAGAGAGAGCGCACGCGTGCGAGAGAGAGAGAGAGAGAGACAGTTGAGAGGAAAGAGAGAGAAAGAGAGATAGAGAGGAAAGAGAGAGAAAGAGAGATAGAGGAAGAGAGAGAGAG